GCCTGGAATAACTGGTGGTGTCTGATATGAGGAGGTGCCGTGCCATCCTCCTTTGTCTACTACACCAAATAGTCTGACTCTCACCAGGAACAACATGACTTGAAAAACTGAGCTGTGTGGGCAAAGAGTTTTCGTAGGTAAAAATACAAAAAAGGAGAACAATCACTGAGATCTAAAATGAAACAGGAAATACTCTTTATCCAAGGTAAAGCCTTCTTCAGTTCAGGTTTCTAATAAAGAATGGCTTTGGAAAAAGTGACAGTTTGGATGGGAAACTGGTGACATAACTGAGGAAAAGCAAATAGGAAAACAATGACAGACAAACTAACTTCTATTGGAAGGCAACTTAAAGATGTTTAACTGCTCGTCCCAAAGGCTGAGAGGTTCTCCACTTCTGAAAACTGAAGAATAACCTAGAAATACTCCTTCATGGCTGAGACTCTTCACAGACTAACAGGATACTCATCACTGTCAGTGTCCAAGGACAACTGGAAATCACAGGCACTTCCTTTTCTTGTGCCTTCTGTGTAAAGGCTCAGTGACCGAACCCAGATTTCAAATCAGCACCAACCAATGAAATTACATTTAAACTATGCAATTATTATCAAAACATTTATCACATAGAAACGAAATATACAACAGCAGCTCTTCAGGTACCAAGTTAGACAATCTACTAAGTAACAAGGTCTTATACTGCTTTGTATTTGCATGAAGTAAAAGTACAAGTATTAATTTACATAATAGTTGCAAACAAAATGCATACAGACCGATGCTACACCCAAGCTGCCTTTTTTCTATTCTTCCCATTATTTTCACTCACAAGTTACTTTATTATCACTGAGGAACATATGTATATATATTTATCTATTCAATTTTTACCTGAATTAAAGACTATTTGAATAGTATGTGTATTTATATGTGCTTTCAATGTATTTCCCATGCATTAGGTAAAATGTTGATCCCATGCTGTGGCCTTGACCTTAAATAAAAAATTTTAGGCATCTTAAACACTCATCCTGACCCCTACCCACAAAACAACTTGACAAGTTTAAATTTGAGGAAAACTATCTGAGTTATTGCCTTGACGCCACTGATCACAATACACCCACTGGTGTAATAAAAACCTTTCCTGCACCTTACAAAAGCTTTAAAATGTGCTCCCTTCAGCAAGAATAAGACAAAGGAAAATACACTAAAATGTAAGTTAAAGTGTTTTTGATGGAAGGCACACTTTAGGAAAATATAACTACCAGGCCAAGTTCAGCTTTACTGACCTTCAGATTCAGACAGCGCTGAAACAGTGAGGAGCATCCTTAAAGAACATAAACACAAACAGTGTGGATACTTTGTGGGGATAGATTCACAGTTCCTTGTTTCAGGGAAAGGTTTGTCAAGATGTGTCATCACTTTGGCAGGACAAGGTTCACACATCATAAACATAACAAGAGCTCCAGCATGTTAACTGTAAAGATCCCTCTCCGTCTCAAAGGTCCAAGCTCTGCTGTCCTTAATACGTCATTAATAGGATGCAAGCTTAAATTTGGTATTACGTGTTAGAGGAGACGCACGCAGACACATGATGGCCTCAAAGTGTAAACTGACAGTATTACGACACATACGCTGTCAGGAGTAACGACACCTTTGTGCCTGCACTGTGATACAGTACCCAGAAAGTACCACCGTGCAGGCATTTACTGAAACATTAACTTCCTCAGATTAGTTTTTCTGTCAAAGCTTCAAGTCAATGTCAAAGTGTGAGTCGATGTATGTTATAAACACAGGTGGCGTGACAGAGATGATATAGAAGCTGTCATGAGACCTGCTGGGTGCATTTAAATTGTAAAAGTTCGTCTACTGGAAAGAATCAAGTGGCTAAATGATCTGTGAATCCTGGGAGCTTCGAGGTCTAAGATGCCAGCGATTCCTGAGAATCGTGAAACTCATGTAAATGTTATCGATATTATTTAGGTCTCAAGAAAAAGATGCTAACTAGAAGGTAAGTTTACCTCTGTCCGGGTGCAGCTAGCTTGAACAGAGTGACATGCTAACTCAGTGGCTGCTTCACGGTGAGAATATCATTGAACTGACACGGTAGCTAACCACAATGTAGCTAACTATATGGGATAATAAAGGTAGGCTCTGATAAGGTGTGATAACCAGTCAGTATCGTTAACTACTGCTAGCATGCCATTAACTTGTCGTTGCACAGGGCAGTCGGCTAACTACACTAGCCTCGACCAGACGACCACATAGCATCAGCAGGTAATAGCAAATACAAACACCTAGCACTAGCCTGTTAGCATAAGTTGAAAACTGCTTGGTTGTGGAAATGAATTTTGACAGAATTGTGATAGCATTAGCTAAGTTAGCATCTACAGCCAAGAGTCCGAAACGTCAGTGGGTAACTTTCCTTTTCTCCCCGCACTACGTCAGCTGTTTGACGTTTGACAAACTCGGGGACACGGGCTTGTTATGGTGTCAGCTGCGGCTGTAAAACGGCTCCTCGGTAATATTCCTCCCATGGCTGGTTTTTGGACATGTTCCTGCGGTCTGCCTCTCTCGATCCAGCCTGAGCCCGGACTCGGCTGATCGGTTCGGGTGAATTTGACAGAGGGGATGTGAATACGGTAAACAGCTCGTCGACAGAGAGGACTAACACACGTCCAGAGTTCCTCTTTACCTCCATGTTTCCTCAGTACAACTTGTCTCACTTACTTACAGTACTTTCTCGTCTTTTTTCTGGTCTCATCGGCTGCCGCTGTCCTTGTCCTCTTCTTCTTCGTCTTCTTCTTCTTGTTCGCCCTCCTCCTCTTCTTCTTCTTCTTGGGCTCTGGCCTTCCCTTCCGGTTAGCAATTTTTCCGGGAACCTCCCACTCTTTGTCAGCAGCTGTGTGACCAATGAAAAAGCTGCATTCTGCACAGAAACACGACGATCATCCACTCTGCAGCAAAGCAGCTCTGAAGTGAATTTACCTCCGTGGGACAAAAACACTGAGATCGTGTACTGAATGTATTCTAATAAAATGTTCCATCATATTCCACGTCTTGTGCTCACAATCCCCTATAAAGACTAGAATACTGAACATGAATGAATGTGTCCAATGATCAGCACTGATGGTGGTGAAAATGAATAGAGATTGAAAAGCAATACAGTTCTTTTATATCTGTATTATTTTTACTGATCAGTCTCTTTCAATTTCCTTCTAAACTTTCTTTCACTTTCTTTTAATCCTTTTCATTTCGTTGAAGAATCTCTGTCAATGTTTGAGAATCTCTGTCACTGATGGGAGAGACAGCATTATCTATCTATCTATCTATCTATCTATCTATCTNTAAATTGTGGAATCGGAATGTAGTGTAACCGTGTGTAAAACTATAAACAGTGCATAGAAGTGTAGAAGACCGTGTATTCAAACTATGGATAGTGCATAAAAGTGTAGAAGACCGTGTATTCAAACTATGGATAGTGCATAAAAGTGAAAAATAATGTATAAAAATGTAACAGTGCATGAAAGTGAAAGAAACTGTGTTCAACTGAACGTTCAAGAGTTAATTTTCTTGCTTTTAAACATCGGCCTTTTAATCGGTGTATCATTAGTTCTTTTCATATTGCATTAGAAAACCAAAATTGGAAAATTAAAAAACGAGTCATTATTTCATTATTCATTTATCTATCTGATACCAAAAAATAAATGAAGGTTTGTTTTTCGTAGTTTGGATTTTTTGCTCAGATCAAAATCATTGATCGAACTTTCTCTGGAGCTCTTCCTAATACAACCGGCGATGACATGTTTAGCCGCACGTTGTCATTTAATCGCTGGCTGTCGAGGTGGTGTCCTATAAACGGTGTGGGCTTTGGCAAACTTGTTAGGAGAGACAGCATTCATCCCACATGAATCAGCACACTTCTCTGCGCTCCCTCTGTATCAGTCACACAACCACAACCCCATAGAGACTGTGTCTGTCCCTCTTCCCATTCAATGATTTAAATTAAACACCAGCAGAGAGAGAATTCCACACAAAAAACTAATACAAATTAACACAACCTCTGTAAATACACAACAAACAAAGACAATTAAATGTGGTCTCTTAAACATAACATCACTATCATCAAAGGCTATTTTAGTAAATTAAATAGTCTTTGATCACAATTTTGATTTATTGAATAATGAATATGTCAGCCTAAATGAATCTACTCCTCCTAGTCATATAAATACACACATTCCCAGAGACTCTGGCTGAGGAGGGGGAGTTGCTGCAATTTTAAACTCGTCTATCAATTAATTCTGAACCCAAACTGAGCTACAACTCATTTGAAAGTCTTGTTCTCAGTCTTCCACACCCATCCAAGAAATCACAACAGCCAATCATATTTGTTGTAGTTTACCATGCTCCTGGGGCTAATTCTGAATTTTTAATGGAATTCCCTGAGTTTTAATCAAGGCTAGTCCTGAAAACAGATAAAGTTATTATTGTTGGTGACTTTAATACAAATTTAGACAATAGTAATTATAGCCTTAGTTTTGCATTCATCTCAATATTAGACTCAATTGGTTTCAGTGTGTACACCAACCTACTCATTGTTGTAACCACACGCTTGACCTTGTAATATCATACAGTGTCAAAATTGAACATCTAATAGTACTTCCACATAATCCAATTCTATCAGACCATAAATAAATAATCAGGGTTTTTCCTCTGTGTTCAGAGTGAATTATCAGCCTTTCATTTTGTAACCACTTGTCACCACTGGGTGGTGCTGCATACCCATAGCTTGCTTGACAGACCCAGATACTCTATTGGTAAAATTATCTTAACAGTAGTGGAAATATTAACTGTACATGTACACATGCTAATGTCTTGCAGTGTATCTGATAATATGAATGCACAACCAAAATTCACAAAAAATGTTATTATGGTAAAAACCATTAAGAAAATGTTTTATTCAGTTGAGACTTTCAACAGTTGTTCATGCATGTGGGCCTAGAGTATTCAATAAATGGGAACTTCACACCAAAATGTAAAATAAAGTTATCATTGTCACACAAAAACACAACAAGATACTGGCGTCATCAGTGTCGGTTTTGTATTCCCTCCATGTCTAAGAGAGGTGGTTGAACTTCTAGAGTAGGAGTACTCATTCGCTGTCATAGGTTTCTACATTGTCTGTCCTCTCTTGATACAGTGAAGCTCTGGAACCCCTGTCGGCTACCTGGTTCAGCAGAGAACATGCAATGTCCTGCTGTGTGTGGTGGACGGATCCTACTGGGTCATTTTGTCTGGGACTATTGACAGAGCTCTGTTGGCCCAGGATGTGCCCTGTGCATATTGATGTGTGGACTCCTGAGGGGTTGAGAGAGCTGAAGGCAGTGTGATACTGAGGCTGACTGGTGGGGGTGATAGAGGAATGGATGGGTGTCTGGGACCTGGTCTGATTATGTGTAGGGTCAGAGGCTGTTTGAACACCCAGAGAAGGATGGGTGTAGCCAGAATTTACTGGGGAACATATGGGAAGAGTGTTGCTCATTGTGGGAACAGAGGCATTGTAGGCCGCATGTGGGGCCTGACAAACCACCGGGAAGCTACTGAAGGCAGAGCTGAGGCCCAACAGGGATGGACATCTTTGGCCATGTGAGTGGTTCATGTAAGGAGAGTTTGGAGTTGTTCTGGAGGTTTGGAAGGGGCTACACTGGCTCTGCAGCCTGTGAGCTGAGGCCGCTTCTCTGTCAGAGCAGCACAAGTGTAGACAGGATGGCATGCGGCTCGATGAGTGCAGCAAGGTGGGACTTCTAGCCTGGGAGGCCATCCCAGTGCAGCCCCACACGCTGCTGGTAGGGTGACTAATTGCTTCATGATGGAGGTGCAGTCCAGTGGCAATGTTTAAAGGGATGTGGGGCTGCCAGTCACTGGAAGCAGTAACATTAGGACTGGGAGCCATCTGTATTCCACAGGAGTGTGAAGAGCCTGGAGAGGTGTAATGGAGCATGGCCATATGAGACTGTAGGTAATTCATTATGTCATGGAGCTCCTTGGCGAGGCTGGAGACATCTTGGTTCAAGTTATTCACCTAAAAAGCAGAAGTAATAGAAAGTTGTCTTGGGGCATATGTGAAGTTTAATGTTTTTATGTAGTTTATCAAAGATAAAAACAGAGATATACCTGAAAGGAAAAGATAAAAGTCTAGTTGTTGAGAACATACAGTCCACTATAAACATGCCAGATTTTTCATTAGGATCCATGTATTATTCTCTAAGAAATCAACAACAATTTTGAAAAATGCAACATTAAAGTGGGAAAAAAAATCCTGGACGCAGGATGAGTTCTTCCTTTACACCACATCCTCCCACCAAATGTCTTGCTTACAAACAGACAAATGGGCAGGAGTGATAACAAAACATCCTTGGTGGAGGTGATGAATTTCAAAAGAGCAGGGTCTGTTAATACTGTGCATTATCAGATGTGAAGAAGCAACATATATTTTATACAGTAATAATTTTGTAATCTAAAAAATGAATGTGTTGATGAAGTGCATACAAGATAATGTAAGTTTTTCTGTTTTCATGTAATCATGTTTGTCTAATTTTGAGCTTACCTCTTTATTCAGCTTGCTTATGTTTTGTCTCACTTCCTCTGTTTCCAGAAGCAGGTTAGCACTCGCTTGTAACCGGTCTGAAAAAGCAAAAAAATGAGTTTGTACTTATATTAAATATCATAGTGTGTAGTTCACTTTTCAAGACTTTACCTGTTACATTCGTCTTGGCTTCACTCTGCTCAACATTAAACTGAAATGCGAAACTATTGTCCTCAATTCCATCCACGACCCTGAACAGACACAAATCAATGTTAAATCACTTTGAATAGATGCAAACTGAATATTGATTTATATTTGGATGTAGCAGGATGGCCAGGTTACCTGGGGCTAAGGTCCAGTGGACTAACACAAGGTAAGGATGGCATTAGCAGCTGGGCAGGCCGATGGTTCGAGTCTGTGTCAGTGGTAAGACTTGGCAAGGGAGAGAAAGAGAGCTCCTCTCTCTCTTTGTATGCCTGAGGAGAGGGGCTGCCTCTGCTGCCTTGGATGGGTGACCGACAGAGGTGGAGTGCGTTAATGTGGCGGAGCTCCTCCCCCAACATGGTGCTGAGACAGGGCTGATGGACGGGGCTGCCCATTCCCTGCAGCAGAGGCACTATTCTCTGCTGAGAGTGTCTCATACCGTCCTCGTGTTCTGCATCATCTGCCTCAATGATGAACGGTAGCTTGTGGTCCACAGATACATGACTCTGAAGAGAGGGGGAAGTTGTGGAAATGATTTGAAGCTCCTGGAGTCAGTTTTTTCATGGGTAACACAACCATCATGTCACTGTACCACCAGGGCTTCAACATAAAGTATGGCATCACATTTACTGTTGACAAAATGAATCTCTAGTGTAAATTAGCAGATATTTCCTTTCATCTCTACTCTCTTTATATCAGAATTCAAGTTACCCCGCAATGTTAAATTTCTGAAAAACAATCTCACTGGGGGCAACAGTAAGATGTCTCATACCTGGTGCATAATGAAGTGTGCACAAAAAACTAAATTAACAAGAAAGTCACTCGGTACAGCAGAACTCTGCCAAGGCCCAACAGTCCCCTTATGAAACTACATTCAAGTTCACTAGATCCAAATTCTTATTTGGATCGGCACCAATTGCCCACTCATTAATAGTCACCTTACGTCAGATTTTTTCCCATCAAGATCCACTAATTATTCTTTGAAAAAATCAGTGCTTTCACTAAGTTTTGTGGAAATTGGTTGCAAAGACGTCTTTTCCTTTTATCATAAACTAGGGTCTTCAAGCGTCACACAGACTTGATTTCCTCTTGTAGAATCCTTTAGTTAGCTTATGCCCTTCCTTTTAGTTCTATATGTTGCCAGTATAGCTCATGTACCTGTGGCCTCTGTGCTGTGTCTTTCATTTGCTTTTTTCTCTTTTATCTCAGCTGTGTGCTGTTTTCAATATTAACCATAACAGGTTTTCAATGAAGCAGACCAATGTCTTATGATGTGAACACAGTTCGTACTGAAACTGACTGCCAGATGTATCAGGATCAGATCAAAGCTGAAATAATAAGCTTAGTGAGGAACACATACCTGAGACAATCTGGGTGTCCATGGGAACCTTGCTACTCCCTGGAGATATAAATAATAAAAATAACAATTAATTACACCTTTATATTCTATATTTAGTAGTAAAGTAGCCAAAGGCATTTTTCAGTAGAGCAGGAACTATAAAATTGAATTCTGTCTCTCTATGCAGTATTCTCCACAAAACATCAGATGTCTTACATCAGTTTTGCTGCCCTCTCTCAAATTGTAGGTGAGGTTGTGGTGGATGTCAGAGCTGAAGCGGCTGCCGTACTCTGGGTACAGCCTGAGGACCTCCATCAATGCCTTGACACTGATGTACTGCAAGTCGCAGTAGGTCAGTGCCTTCACATCTGCATTTGTCTTGATCACCTGGTCACGTTCCGGGAGATCAGCCCCGATAAGGTCACCTTTGCCTACAGAGATTGTGGGGTTAAGCGAAGGAGATACAACAAAGCCAAAGAAGCAAAAACAAGCAACAGAGGATATATCCCAAGTTTGCTTGCACACTGACCCAGAATGGCTATGACCATGCCGTCTTTCAGAACCTCCAGGGAACCCGAGCAGACGAAATAGTTGGCTTGTAGGGCATCTCCGTGGCGGATGAGGTATTCTCCTGGTGCACAGAAGGAGGTCTTGATGTGCAGGGAGAGGGAGCGCAGACACCCTCTGCTTGCTCGCTCAAACACAGGCAGCTGCAGGATGTCTTTGTTAAGATGCATGGCGATGTCAGCTCGCAGCTCGTCTGGGAAGTCATGCAGCAACTGAAACACAACACAGGAAAAAGAATGTGTCAAGTCTGTATACACCTTTGCAATGTTTCTGACAGTCCAACAGGTCCACTGAATACTTGAATACTTCCAATGCCCCTAAGCCCATGCACCAAAACAAAAACCATAGTGGTTTGATGCACTCGTGGGATGTGTCAAGCCGCTAAGTAAAAACAGACGTGAGGTGTTAAAACCAACAAGTTCTCAGAAACCAGTCACAGTGTCTGCTACCTTCAACAGTGAATAAATTACCTACAGATGGCGATAGCGAGGGCGTTAATGAGTACTCTCTATATATCAACTCCTACCCTTGTAATTACAGGGTACTTCTCCTAGATTGGTGCTGCTATTGTTACTGATGTGTCATCAACTTTAGAAAATGGAATAAGACTCCAGAGAATTTTTGAGATGACCCACATTTCAAGATTCTAGCACCCACACAAAAAGACATTACTGCTGCCCACGCAGTCATCAGCTCATATAGAGTTAAGTTACTTATTCAAAAAGTTATTAAACTTCCTATTCGGGCCAAAATATTTGTTTAAACCACACTACACTGCTACTTTCTGTCACTCACCTCATTGGCGTTGATGCCATTGTTGACTGACCAGGTGGCCTGAAAGTATTCCAGCATCCTCTGCTTCAGCTGCTGAGGTAACCGATGCACACGGATGAAGTCCTTCAGATCCTTCATTCGGGTGTGGTAGAGCGAGCGCCGCGAGTACATGCGCTGGATGATGGCTGTCACATTGCCGAAGACCACTGCATGCATCAGGGCTGCAGGTGGGAGAGAGAGCGGCTGACGTTTTGGTGTTCTCAGAACATTAAATTAATTTGGTGAATTTTTTCTGTGAACCCACCACCCATGAGCATGATGCAGATGGAGAAGACTTTCTCGGCATCCGTATTGGCACACACGTTGCCAAAACCGACACTTGTGAGGCTGCTGAGGGTGAAGTAGAGCGAGGCGATATAGGCACTCGGCATGGAGGGACCACCCATGGTGCTGTTGACGTATGGGGTCTCCAGACGCTTTCCTAACTCCTGAAGCCAGCCTGGTGGATGAGGTCAGAACATTGTTGGATCTTAGGTGATTAAGGTTAATAGGTGACTATTCTGACAGCTTAATATGAAGGTTGTACTTTCATATTGCAACTCCCTCTCTTCTCTCCCCTCTTTTTCACCCACTTCTCCCTTCTCTCCTCCATTTTCCTCTGCTCACCCCAACTGGTCGAGGCAGATGGCAGAGATTTTTTTTTTCTCCATCATTTTAGGGTCTCAACCTTACTATGTAGAGAGCCTTGAAATTTTGTATGTTATGATTTCAATCAATTAATCAATGAATTCATTTTAATTGGTTGCAAGATCCTCTGCCTTTAACCCTCAGTGAGAGTTATGAAAAATGTGCCACTACAATAGAAAAATTGAATGGAAACTAAATGTTTGTGTTTTAGAAATCTGCTTCAACAGATGACCATCTCTCCTTCGGTAGGTGATATAATGTGAAGTTTTATAACTCATCCTGGTGATGTAATGGTATTACTCAGTGACCTTTACTTCCTCTGCGTGGACAAGCTAGTTGTTGAAATGATGCCGCAGCTTTCAGGCATTCAAGCATGACAAGAGCTGTGCAGAACTAGCCCACTGGGGAGGCATTAAAAAAGGTTGTGCAATGCCAGACAAGTGAGGAACAACATTACACTCTTGAATATTTTTTTGTGAGACCTATCAAACACAAACATACACATGCGCTTACCTATGTCCCAGGTAACGGGGTCACTACTCTCTATCTCTTTGCGTCCGATGACGTACCAGACACAAGCCATCCAGTGAGCCAGCAGAGCAAACACAGACATGAGCAGGGTCAGGACCACGGCGCTGTACTGAGAGTAGCGATCCAATTTCTGCAAGAGGCGCAGCAGACGCAGCAGACGGACCGTCTTCAACAAATGCACAAGCGAGGTCTAAAGTTGAGGAGAGGGAAAACAGGAAATATAAGCTGGATCAGATTAATCAAAGTCCCTTGATCTATTGATCACACAGGGGGGTTGAATGTCTTTGAATATCTTCTGCAGTCTTTTAGGACACATGTGCAGTCTGAATGCTAAACTGTATAAAAGCATGCTTGGCATTCATAGAACAAATGTGAATATTTTCAAAAAAAGATTTCTACATTCCATAGCAGATGTTTTACTTCCCACCTTTTTCTGAATTAATTTGATAATAGAATATTTCAATTTCGAAGAAACAGTGCCTTTAGTATATGGTTCAATATAGTCTAAAGATCCATACGTTTGGGACATGAGGCCCTAAAAATGTCGGAGTTGAAGAAAACTGAAAAAATTAGCAGACGGAAGTGGAAACTTGTGCTGCAGAGATGGTCATTAATACAGAAATCTCTTAAAATTATATATTATATAAATTATACCCTTCACTCTTTATGTTTTGGAAACTGAGTGGAAAACAGTATCCAGATACAAATTTGGGGCTTTCATTATAGACAACACCATACACCAAACTTTTAAGAAGTTCTGGATTATCGGGTTATTGTTCTCATAGAGGTCTTTTGAATTTTTGTTGTGCTATTAGGGAGAGCTGGGAGGCATGACTGCTTGCAGGAGGGCTGATCAACCTGTCATCAAGCAGGCATTTCTTCCAGGTTGCTACCATGGGGGGCAACCACACCGTAAAGGAAAAAATGTACAAATGACCAGCTTGATAATACCATTTAAACTGGGTGTGTTAAGTTACTTATTGACTTATTTATCACCCTCGCTCTTTCCTTTACTTAAATGCTTTCCATAAATTCCATGTACTTATACTAGAACAGATGAAGCAAGATAGTCTAACTTCTTAAAGTAGGATTGAAGGATGCTCACATGGGATTTAATGAAAAATGAATAGAAACCAAGTCAATGTTACCATCTTAATGGCATTAATACATCTCACTGTTGAAATAGGCAACGTTTTTCAGTATTTATTAATATAACATATGGTGTGACCCAACCTCACATCTAACTAAAATTTGGTATCTTTCAATAGCATCTATGTGAGTCTAGTTTATTGTAAATAATAGCATTAGTTTTTTTCAACCAGAGTCAGAGAGATGTCTTTATGAGTCAGCTGAGGCCTCTGGCAAAGTAGGACTAATCCACAGGAAGTACCAGTGTTCCTCTTAGAGGATAAAACTAAAGCGGGAAAGCTCAGTGAAGTGAATGTGGATAATCACCTCCAGTCCACTGCTCTGAAGGAACGACACAAAAACAACGCTAGTCTTAAAGTTTGTGCATTTAAAGAGACAGAAAGTTATAAAACCTGGGGGCAGACAGTGGTGCCGCTCATCTTACCACAGTGATGTTGAAAGCATAGAGGAGGTCGAAGGGCAAAGCTGCAATCAGATCCACGAAGAACCAGGTGGTGCAGTAATGGAGGTAGATGGATCGGGCGTCGTACACCACCTGACCTGACTGACTCACGTAAGTGGTGCGGAAATTCAGGATAATATCTGAGGGTCAACAGAAGCGCAAAGTAATACATAAAAAAATTATAAATTCAGGATTGTAAGACACATTTATCAAAAAATGGACATTGCCATGTTCGTGGACGATCTTTTCACAGCACGTTTGAGATGTGAAACTTTGATGAAAGAACTCTGGAACTAATAACTGTTTTTTTCCTCTCTGGGTTTATTTAACATAAAATCTCTAAACAATTACACTCTCAGTGTTTAGATTGTACCACAACTAAACATAATATTATACTTGGATGGATAATTGTTGGGTTTAGTAAGACTATTAATAAAAGGGGGCCCTGTACATATTTTAAACCACTCCATCCATAAACAATATAAAATGTTAATACTAAACTGTTAAAATTAGTTTTAATATTGCAGTATAGTCTGTTTTACAAGTTTTCATAATTTGAGAACAAAGAATAAAGGGAGACCCAGGAGAAACACTATTGCGCTGTTAACAGCTAAGGCAAGTCTATACCAGCTCGACATTAATGACTAGACAACACAGTTGATTGAAGGTTGACATTATGGAAATTTCTTTTTACCTGTTTGTGCAAATTAGTATAAGGAGAATTGCAATACTATGGTAATTTACATGATACATGCTTGGCACTATATTTTTACTTGGAGAGATGTATTTCTTGCAGCAAGGCTCAATGGAGAGAGTGTTTAAATGAAACTGGTTCAGGGACAGGCCTTTAATATTGAGCAATGCTTAAATTCAAAAACTTTTTTTTTTACTTGATTTAATCAAACAAGGACAATACACACAAAAACATTAGTATCAAAATGAGAAGAGATCATTTATCCCTGATTTATCTCTCAGCTAATTTCCATCTGCAGCCCTTGGGCAGATACACACTATATCTAAAACGCACCATATACAAAAGCATTGATTTACATACAACACCATCAAAGACTCTATCACACAAACAGTTATACAAACAAATCTATGATAACACATCGACATATACCAGCACATTCATTCAAAATTTAGGACAAATTCAACACAATTAAAAATCTGAATCAGATTAATGTTGGCATGACTTATTCCTAAAAATCTTTTTTTTTACTCCACAGGGAAAAGAGTGAAAGTCTGTAAACTCAGCTGGAAGCATATTCCAATGTTAGATTGCCATTTTATATTTGATATCTCCAATGAGATTTGCAGGAAAATTATTCACTTTCACAAAAAGTAAGTACATGAAAGAGTGAGTGCCAGCATGTGATACCAGGTGAGCTAATTTTGAAAACATTTATCACTGACTGTCTGTCTGTCCCCAAACGTGTTGAGAGAGAGAGAGAGAGTGTGAGAGAGGGAGAGCGAGAGAGAGAAGTCAGAGAACCTCACAACAGATGTGCTATCACACTTCCTTTAGAGGAAAGGTGGAACAAAGTGAGAGAAATCTCATTATGATTCGTAACCTGGGGCAACAGAGACGCCCTGAGTGGGCGAGGAAAGGTAGGGGGTTCATGTGGAAGCTATTGCCAGGGTAACCACTGCAGCTGCACTGGAAAATACAGTTCTTGATTTAAACACGGCATTGTTATCGCTTCATAATGCCGCTCAAGATGCTTTACCACAAAGGTCTGCTCGTACACAGCATGTGATCACTGTAAAAGATCAAATATAGTGGTTCAATCTACCAATTATCCCAGTGAAAGAATTTAGACTACAATTGCCATGTATCAGGAGTTACGTGCTTGTTTATTGGAAGTTTGAATTTTGTCAAAAAATATTTAAAATTAATGATATTATTTTCAAGGACCAAAAACTGATGATTGCAATAGTTTTATCAAATATAAATGCATCATTACCAAGTATGAAGAGCACCTCCACGGCTATGTCACTGCCTTTAGTGCTGTGATTGCCGAGCGAGTGATGGTCGCTGCCCTCGTCGTGACTGGCAAAGCAGACGTCGTAAGGCACAGTGACAGCAACGTAGAAGGTCGCCAGTAGAATGAGCCAATCCCACAGGGCCTTGGAGATGCTATAGTGCAGCAGGATGAAACGTGACTTCTTCACGGCCGCAACTTTGTACTCAGGTAGAGACGGCTTCTGGAACACACTCTGAAAGGACCAAAGGAAAATTAAATCTGTGGAAGGTGGAAGTCATTAGGTCAAAATGTATAATCTGGCTCTCATTGACATCCTGTTGTGGTGGGAATGGAGTGGTCTCAGTTGGAGAGAGGAAGCTTGTTTGATGAACTCAGGCTCAAGAACCTGAAGTCCCAGCATTATGTTAATGGCCACCTTAAACCCCGAGAAATAATGAATCCTTTGGATAAATGAAACCAAATCTGAAAATGAAACAGGATGAGAAAATAAATTTTCCCTGCAGTGCCTTTTGAGGCAGTGTCTAGATACAGTAATAAGCTCAGCACGAAGCACTGAGGGAGGCTGGTAAAGCAGCCAGTGATTATCTATTTTCATTAATCTTAGAAGATTTGTAATCAATTTTGAATATACTTGAATAAGGAAATTATAGGCACCAGTGGTTTAAAGATGTATAAAATAAGTGTGTGTGTGGTGTGAAAGAGAGTTTGAGCTTTTTGAATGTCTTGTGTTAGTAACATTAAAAACATAATTATGGAACACAAATGTGAGGTTAACACTCACCATATACCAACAATGGGGTTTAACAAAGTACATTTACTTCATTAATATCAGTTAATTTTCCCTTTTACTTTACTACGTATATCAGGAAATATGTGTACTTTTAATTCACCAAAAATTGCAAAGGATTGTGTTACATGTTCACTTTGTTTTTCAATTTTCTAAAGAAGTCAATAATTAGAGGAGAATTGGTCCAATGATCCAATCAGAGCGGGCAGGAAACACTAGATCCCGCCTCTTTTAACGAGAGCAAGTGCACGTGCAGCAGCAGCAGCAGATTCAACCATAATGATGTAGACCATTGCATTAGGGAAAAGGCTACAGTACTTTTACCTTTCAAACTTTAAGTATATTTAAAAGCAAGTACTTCCTTAATTTTCTCAAGTAGAAAAGTTAATGTGGCACCTTCGCTTTTACTTGAGTACATTTTGGTTTTCTATTTAATGTACTTTTATATAAAGCTAGGGTTGGTACGCCAGGAAAAACTAGCAGGCTCCCCTTTGAAAATGTGCAACCGGTACATCCCGCCCCCCACCCATCGACCCTCTCGCCCGCAAAACACATGAACATGCACGGTCTGACAACTGCTAGAAGCCGACTTTTCCGTGACTCGCTGGCTAACTTGTGACTATTGTCTCTGCTTCAGTCTCTCAGGCAGTACTGCCAGCCAATGATTTCATGTTGTCGTGTTTATTATAGTCCTGCGAGGGCCATAGACAACAACCTTTTTCTTTTTTCTTTATTTAATGGTGCCTTGGGACTTGGGGAGAAGTTCAAAAAATGAGATAAAAAGTGTTTCAGAAACAACTTAACTTAACAACCATACCTTTAAGTAAAATATTTACGTACTTGGTAAATTAAATAAAAGTTTAGCAAATACTTAGCAAATACTATTTAAAGAAAAGCACCCACACATCCCTCTGTAAAAATGAACAATGAAATATTGAGACTGACATGTATATTGTAGACTTGATTATGTTGACGCTAAGGTTTGCACTCACATCAGTCAGTTTCCTATTGCCCCTCTTGGTGAGGTGGTGCAGAATGGTCCGTCCCCTCTCCCGAGCTTGGGAAAAGTGAGATTGGTTGCTTTTCCTGCTTTGGTAAGCAGCCTCTGACGTACCTATGAGCGAAGCCATAATAGCCACAGATTAAATGTAAATTGAGAAATATTCCACTTAGCTTTGAACTATTAAAAAAACAAGCAGCGGCAGCATAACATTTAAAAGTTGAAGTAGTCTTAATTAAAATGGGACTGTTAACTTCACAAAACCAGGTGTCACCTTCTCCTTGGCCGTAGTGATAGCTTTTCCCATGCGATTCAGTGACGTCTTTGAAGGATAACAGGAACAGCACCACCTCACTTTTCTCATTTTTAATTGGAACAATATCCAGGAGGCACCAAAATGGGTTTCCTAAGAATATTAAAGAAGTTATTAATGTGCGTATCCATAAATACATTTAATCTACAGTTTATACCCCAAAATGATGATTGCATTCCTATTGATTCTGGAGTAACATTGTTTTCTATTTTTCTTGCACTCCCTGCTTATCGTCTGTATGAAGACCAGGGACATGACTGAAAACACCACAAACAAACACTCTTCAGGTCAGGTTAAGAATACATTTTGAATAATTAAAGTCTGTGTTTCAGAATGCATGACCATGGTAAAACAGATGAGTCCTCACCATTTTTCCGGTAGAAGCAGACTTCTCCCTGGTACTCCCGCTGTCCCTCCAGAGCTTTGTCCAGTTGTTGGATTGCACTTTCATTGGTCTCAACCCCGTGGAGGAAGCTGCAGGTACAGGTTTTCTGCATTACCTCACTCCGAACAAAGCCGGTCAGCTCGCAAAACCCATCAGAGCAGTACACAATGGGGTAACCATGGCGACCCTGAGCATTTCCCAGTAGAAAGTTACTGTCTGCAAGAAAAATAAAAAACAGGGATGGAGGTAAGATTTATATAACTGAGGAAAGGTTTTGTCTTCGATCTTGTTCATGGTCTTGGCCTAATAATTATTCCTGGTCTTATCTTTTCCTTGGTCTTGGGTTCATCTTTTACTTGTCCTTGTCTTGGCCTTGTCTTGGTCTTGACTTGGTCTCGTCTTGGTCTCGACTTGGTTTTGTCTTGTCCTTGGTCTTGTCTTGTCTCTTTTTGGTCTTGTCTCTTTTTTCTCTTGTCTTGCCTCTACATTGTATTGTCTCGGTCCTCTCCTGTCTCTTCTTGGAGTTGTCTTGTCTCCTCTTGGTCTTGTCTCTTCATGGTCTTGACTTGTTTTTTTCTTGCCCTTGGTCTCGTCTTGTCTCTTTTTGGTCTTGTCTTGTCTCTTCTTGGTGTTGTCTTGTCTCTATTTGGTCATGTCTCTTCATGGTCTTGACTTGGTTTTGTCTTGTCCTTGGTCTTGTCTTGCCTCTTCATGGTCTTGTCTTGGTCTTGTATTGTTTCTTCTTGGTCCTCTCTTGTCTCTTCTTGGTTTTGTCTAAAAAATTTGGATAACTCGAAGTCAATCCAATTCAAACACATGCCAGAAGAAAAGTTGTTCTACACAAGTTTCATTTTAAAAACAATTTATTTGTAATAGCTTTATATTGAAAATAGTTTTGGACAATTATTTGGAAAGTCAAAAGGCTGATACTTAAGATTAAGATTGCTTCTTTTCACAATGCCCACCATAAATAAAATAATTGCATGTGGCAGAAAACATTTTTCTCTCTAACACAGCTTCCGAGTGCAGTTGACTTAAAATGTTAATGTGTAGTGTTTATATAACAGTGCAAGAGAGTTTCTAGGTCTAAAGAATTATTTTAATGGGTGGAGGTGAAGAATCCATTCAGTCAAATTCAATTCAATTCAATTCAATCTTATTTGTATAGCGCCAAATCATAATATACATTATCTCAAGGCACTTTGCATAGAAGGTCAGGACCTTAAAATTAAAATATAAAGAAACCCAACAGTTCCCACAATGAGCAAGCACGTTGGCGACTGTGGAGAGGAAAAACTCCCTCATTAACAGGGAGAAACCTCTAGCAGAACCAGACTCAATGCGGGCGATCATCTGCCTCGACCGGTTTGGGTGAGCAAAGAAAATGGGGGGAAGGAGATGAGAGAGGGGTTTGAAAAGAGGGGAGAGAAGAGAGAGGGATAGTGGGGAGGGGGAAGTAGGTGAGAGAAAGACCGGGGACACTTGGGCGCCATCAGGTATCAGATCTGACTAGTTAAAAATGGAACAACAGTGTAAAGACTATTAATTCTTAAATATAAATTCTTAACAGTGAAATCCTTTGGGCAATAAACAACACAGTCAATATTATTGCTAACTCCTGGAACACTGAGGAGTCATTTTAGGGCAGGATGTGTAGGTGGTAAAAGAATAATCATAAAACCCTGCATTTAAAGAAAGCATTTATTCAAACTGAGGCATAATGTACAATTCAGTATAATACAGAATAATCAAAAAGCAACACGATGATGGCTGTAAGAGATGTGAATAGAGAGAACCTACCTCTGTCATGTACTATGAGAACTATTAGAGTTCAGAGAACAGATTGATGTACATGTATTTTATCTATTGAAGCTAGACATATTCTATTGTGAGCCACAGGGTCCTCTTGACAAGCTGCTGTGTATCAAAAAGAGAATGCATAGAGCAGAGAAATAAAGTTCATCTTCTTTCCCATTTTTAAACTTCCTTATGTGCTGCAGAGTGATGTGTAAAAATAATAAATGATACAGGTCCACTCCCCTTCTTGTCGACTGTGAAGAGAAATAATGATTTCACCATCCTTTGCTCACTAATTCACTTCACAAGGGAGAGGTCCCGTCCACTGAGCGGTGTTTCCTTTCACTTATTCATTCTGTTGATCATTGAGCACAAGCAAATGTCAAACTAAAATATTTGTTTAAACATACCGCACAACACTACAATGATGATGTTTTAGGTGAGAGGACAATGCTGGACATCTGTGCTGTGGCGAGTTTTAATAAGTGATGCTTTGTGCTCCCTCCAAAGCTCAGAGAGTAAACACAGACTGATGTTTGGTTCAGATGCACGCAGCTATAGTCTCACCTGATGTGTTTTAATTGTTCCTGAGGCAAAAAAAAATGCAATTAGAGACGTGCAGATGTATAATTCCTGATATGTGTACAGTAAATCTCACAAGAAACTAAATGAGATCTTTCCATGCTTGTGTTGCCATAGCAATTTGCAGAGAATAGATGGCAGTGCTGCAGTTTGCATCTGCGAGGTTACCAAGATACCGTGTCCCCTGAAACACAGATGTATCCAGTGAAGGATCGGCATAGCTGCAGATACAGTGGACGATTCGGTAAAGATAAAATAACTCGTCAGTCTCTGAGCCCCCTGTGCTGATTTATCTTCAATATAAACTGTTCAGACTCATCAGGTTTACCATGGAAATCAAGCAGATTATTGTCAAGTGTAATCCTCAGGAAAGAAGTTAAATCTTGGTTGAATCAAACTCTTCTGCTTCAAGAGACTCAAGATTCTTTATTGTTTGAAAGTTGCTGCGTTGGCACTCCCTGAACTCTGGAAAATGGTTTAGAAATATAAAAAAATTGTAGGAATATAATGAAAATACATATAAAAGTGTAGCAACTTAAAGGGTATAGATGATTATATATACAAATAAAGTATTATTCGGTCGCGTTGACAGGTACCGAAGTCTGACTGGCAGTGAAACTCCAGTGATTTCTTGTCAAGAAAGGTTCATGTCGAGGATTAGAAAATGAGGCGCAGATGAGGTGGGTAATTACAGGAGGATTGTAATTTCTTATCATTGCTTCTTCTGCTCTATTTGTTGATAACCTGCATGCATTGGCTTCCTTTAGGTTAAATTGCAATCACTGTAAAGCAATGATCATCCGCCAATTATTGACTACAGAGGTGTGAAGAGGAGAAACGTGCTATTCAAACACTTAGCCGAGCAATTAGCAGAAGAGACTGTGGACAGAAAAAAAAGCGTTCTATGCCTGCTACTGTACAATTATGACAGTAAAGCAATTTCATATCTAGATTTATGATTCATTTGACCCTGATGTCTAGAGAATGCAAATATTATTCGTCGTTAATTACCTATATTTGAAGGTGGTGATTGATTATATGAATAGACATGTCTCGGATTTCAAAGAGGATGACTGAGCAGGACCCCTGACGATATTTGATTGCCCCTCTGCATAATTTATCTCAATTAATTTTCCATCTCACATGTCAGGGTCATGTGAATATCAGCTCCATTCCCCTGAGCCCAGCCTCGGTTCACAGTCAAACCGGGGGGCATTTGTACAGTATTTATTATCTCTTCAGAGACATGAGTTGAAATAAGAGTTTCAGCAGCTACCCCCTCGTCCTCAAAAGAGACGCTGTCACACAGAAAAAGCTTTCGATTCCACTGAGACACATTTGAGGCAGTCCTCAGACTAGAATCGTGCTCCAAGGCCACATCTTGTCAGTTAGAGGCTTCACTTCCCACTCAGCTACTCAGTCAATCGGTTCATTTGCAAATCTGATACTGAGGTACTGGGTGTTGTGTGTGTATGTGTGTGCAGGTCAAAGAGTGTATGAAAGGGCAGGATGATGTGAAAAAGGGGACTGGAGGATGCATCTGTGTGATGGGGGAGGACCAGACGGAGATAGTGTCATCGCAGTGAACTTGTGGATTTGCTAACGTGTGATGTGAAGGACAGTCTGACCCATTCACAGTCTTTCACATTATGTTCTAGTGTCTGTTGATGATTTTTAATTCTCTATGGATCAATAATGGGACTAGCAGAGCAGGAACCAACCAAACAATTGCCCACAATGGATGGGACATCATTGTCTAAGCTTGAAAATAAACATCCACACTCTGCATTTTAATGATGCGAAAGCAAACACCAGCAAACTCATGTGCATAAGTGAGTGGTGATGTGTTCCAGGTGCAAAAAGGATGTGAGGGGGATGAAATACTTTATAAACCACCACTAGTTATGGTCTCCATGTGGTAGCTAAAATAACTGACAAGATATTAATTTCTGTCTCAGGGTTTGAAACACATAATGTTTTAGATGTGTAAAGCAACATTTAAGTTAGAACTCAATGAATGTAAAAAATAAAGGAATAAAATAAAGAATAAAAGTTCAAAAAAGTATAATTTTGTCAGTGAAGCGATGTCATCAGCCGTAATGTTTCTGCTGATTGCAGATTATTAAGTTATTTTTCTAACTATCAACATAATTCCACAATCCCATCAATTATTTTCAAAAGACCTGTTAAATTAAAGATATAATGTGTCCGCTGAGATATCAAACATTCAGTAGCATCAATAAGCCAATTTTCACCAAAATATCTCCTTAGCCTTATTTGCATTTGTCTCCAATGTTATTGCACCTGTCCTGCGACATTTACACTCAAAAGAGCAAAAAATGATTGGCAAAGAAAATGTAAAGGTGGGGTCGGGGTAAATGCGAACATATATCACAATTGTCTGTCTGTGCCGTGACAACAGAGCCCTGAATTATGTACAGCTTCACACTGAAAAGAATATGATGAGCGCTAGATACACAGTTTTGTTGAAGGATTTCCTTTAGCACAGACAGCAAAGTACAAGAAGCACCTCGACTGTGTGATGCATACATTTCAGCGTTGAATAATCCTCACAAGCAACACAATGGCTCAACCAGCAGCTCCTCAGCTTTGCACTGTCCTCCTTTTCAAGCTCTGGTTTGCTGTCGTGACTCGCAGCATTATAATTGGATGTCACCACTGTTGGACACATTTGTTGAAAGCAATGTTTTTCAGTGTCAGTCACGACATTAAAGTGGGTTAAATAAATGCCACAAGCTATGTTACCTTGATGATAGAGGCATAACTGTTAGAATTGCATCCTCAGAAAAGATTTGCAAGCAACACAGTTTTCATTTTTTAATGTAGGTGTCCCCAGAGAAAAGTTAGACACACTGATTGCAGCATAGTGATACAGTATTCCAAAAGAAGTCCAAGGTTTACATTTACAAGTAATGAAAGGCATTCTGAGATAGAATTTTCTTGTTAACGTCACTGAATAAAGAGTTATTATAGAAAGATCCAAAATATACTTACGCGTGCCATCAAAATGGTTCGCAATGCTTTCCAGGAAGGTGTTTTGTGGAGCGAGGAGGCCCTTCATCACAGGCATCTTGGGCTAAGAGTCAGTAGTTTCCAGTAGTTTGTCAGCATTACCCAAAGAGAACCACAGTGGCTCTTCTGTGAGGTTCTATCGGAGTGTGTGAGTGCAGTGTGTTCTTTCCATCCTATGCGGTCGAAAGGAGACCACTGACATCTTTTTGTTGTTGCAGGACTTCTCTTCAAAGCTTCTCTCTCAGTATTGATTCAGGAACTTTCAGGTTCAGCTGCACATCGCTCTGCTCTCGGCTCTGCTCCCGGCTCTGCTCCCAGTGTCACAGCCTCAGCTTCTCTTCAGACAGTCTAACTCCACTCACCATGGTTCCTGCCATCCCTGACTCCCCTTCCTCTCTCTCTCTCTCCGTCCCTCCCTCTTCCTCTTCCACACACTGTCAATATATTAGTCCTCCTACTTCTCACTCCCAAGAGAAGTTGCTAGAAATCACTTTCTTTATCTCTCTCCTCTCGCTCTGCCTCTCCACTGTGCCTATTCTGGAAATCAGTTTTGGCAGTTACAAAATGCTTGAGATTACAGATGGTTGTTGTGGATATTCTGGAACATGAGAGGACAAGAAGAGGATTACACTTATTTGGTGTCTGTATTGAGCTTTTGTTTTTGTTGCCCACCATTCTATGGACACATGGAGGTCAGAGGTCACAGCTCCGGATGGTTCACTGTCTGGCTCTAAGATGCTACAATGGAGGATCTATCAGGCGGTGATCTGAATCACCCGAAGCTGTATCACGTTGTCTTTGCAACATGTACATGAACAAGCACCCTATACACACATAGTTGCTGCTTTATAGTACAAGCCAATGCATTTTAGAACATACCCATGTTCTTTGTATAGTGGGTCTTCATATAGTCAAGCTGCTGTGGATAATCACTAACCCAGTGAGACCTGACATTTCATTATTGCCTACCTTCATATCCATGAAAAGGTCACAAAGCAATACAGCCAATTAAAATGGCTTATGTTGGCTTATAATATTGAAAGGTATTTTTATATGGTCCAATATATACATATATCCATTCAATAGATTGAAATCATCTTTTATAAACCACACAAGCAGGAAACGAATTGTGGTGTAAGAGCAGCATTTGTTCTTTAATGTTTCCCTCTTTTTTCTCTGTGGTTTCTCCACCATGTGTCAAATTAGAGGACCAGTTTCAGGTGCCAAATGATTGACTAATCACACAGCTGCTTGCCCCCGCTCTGTGTGCACTGCAATTACAAACACTATAAAGTGGTGAAACTGAAGAAAAGGCAAATTAATGAAATGTCCCCATAAGTAACTTACAGACCTGTATATATGTATGTTTGTGTGCATAATGTAGACGATCTGTGTTTGCTAAGGTTAAGAGTACGATGATAAATGTCTCCAATGGCAACAGCAATCCCACACACAGAAATTACTCAGGAAGTCAAAGAAGGTGTTGGTGTTGAATACTGATACAGTGATCGGATCAGTTTTTTATGTCAGAATGAAGACAGGAAATATGGTTATTTTTATTATCCACACACTTTGCACAAGTAGAGGCAAGAGGAACAGAAGCTGGTGTCCCTGAGTGAACAGGAAATCTGAATACATCCAATAGGGATAGTTGACCCAGGAATGAAAATTGAGTGAAGTGTTGAGTTGCTTAGAAATAACTTGGGGGGGCTTTCTGGTTTCCAAAGTGCTACATATTGAGCCCTGCAAATTATCCATAGACGTATAACAAATATAATTGTTCATCACTCATCTTGGTCAAAAAATATGCTAGTGAAGCATTTTTAATTCATGCAGTGTTATACTGGATCAGAGACTCATATCTTCATCAAGGTAAACAAAGTTATAGTAGACACCAATGCTTTGAGTCATCCTGTTGGATAATTACATTATTTAATGACATCGCCTCTATATTTATTTTCTTTTAAAAGCATCAGCACCATCTTGTGGCGCTCTTCTTTCCTGCACTTTGTTGTGCTTCTTAGTGCATATTATGAAAAAAGTAGAGAATAAACAGGTCAGTGTTTTTTTTCTCCCAGTGTCATAGTATTTGAAACAAAACAATATATCAGATATTCTGTCTTCTTCTCACTTGTGCAGTAAATCCTGATCTAGCAAGATAGTTTTTCATTTTAGTTGGATGGTCAGTGTGAATATTTATTCACACTGAGTGTTTTTTTTTTTGAAGGTCATAGAAAATACTGTTCCCATGATTCTGGAGTTATTTCAATCCCAACTATTTCTTTCTTTAGATAGAATGTATGTAGAAAGATTTTTAAGTAACAGTAGAACAAAATATTTCTTAAGTCATAAATAAGTATCTTCAGCTTTGGTCCTGGGAAAACTATTGTTGGAGTCACATTAGAAAATTCTGGAGAATATTGTATTTTAGGTTTCAGTTTTATGTTAATTTGAATAATTCATTATGAAATTTTTTTTAAATCTCAGGTGAGCAAAGTACTGACCTGCTTGGATAACATTGTGAGGGTGCCGACCGAAAATAATGATGATAGACATGTTTCAGCTTTGTTTTTTTTATTGTACAATGCCTTAATATTTTCTGACAGGCCAATGCAAATCATATCACTTTCAAAAGGCACATGAAAAAAAAACAACATTCCCCATGAGCAATAAAATATACATTTTATTAAATACCACTCACAAAATAAGTGTGATTTTACTACCTACATTTGAACAGTGTCCCAGTATATTTATACCATGAGATATAAGTATGCCTTCACCCAGGGTGGGGTGTTGTGATGGTGGTTCCTGACCGAGCCATCCAGTCCATGTACAGCTCTGCGGCCCTCTCCTCTGTCCTCTTCCCCATGGTCAGGATCCCTGCTGCCTGGTTCCTGGAGACCTGCAATAGGTGGTGGAGTCGGCTGTGCAAGCGATGCTCATCCTCCTTCCGTTTGCCCAGGGTGAGGATGCCGGCAGCAGCATCTCCAGTGTGGGATCCCCCCGTGGTACTGCTACCGGAGCGGCACAGCAGCACGTAGAGGCGACAGGAGCGAGATGGTTGTCTGCAGCACTCAGACATGCTGTGAGCGTCACATGTCAGTTGAGACAGCAGCAGCATCAAGACCAGCACTAGGACTTTCTGCGGGGTGATAGAGATTTGTTTACACTGAAGTGATTATTTTTCCCATGTGCATTTGAATTATAACATTATATTTTCTTCAGTCATTTTATTGGTAAAATTATTCACTTTTCACAAGAAATCCAAATGATGAATATGAATCACTGAATCTGCCATAAGACGATGCTGACATTTACATAACATACATAAGCCCTGACCTGTAGTCAAGAATACATAGAAAATCATCATCGTCGTCAATGACTGGGATAATGGTACTGTCCTCAAACCTTTATCTGCACATAATGGATATGAAATGTATTCTGAATCAAATTGTTATTAGATTAGATTTTATTTGTCAAGGAAAGCAGTAGAAGTGCAGAATAATGTACATATGTTTTGATATAAACAAATAAATAACAGTAAGGATGTGATTATGTCAATATATATGCAAAATAAACAGTATATATGCAGCATGTGCAGCAGCTTTGGTGGGCAAAATGTAGGCATAAGCGTAAATATGCAGTGTGAGCATAAGAAAGAATAACCCCAGTATATTCAGGATTTAACTGTGGTTACATAAAATTACATTGCATAAATAAAGATAATGAAATCTAATAGAAAGCATTTTTATTTTGTAAAGTTTAGCTTATGGTGATTACAAAGGTACAGTCATTGCTCAACAGTTTGCCTATATCTTTGATTAGCTATTTTTGTGTTTTTATTTATTTCATTAACATTATTATTTTTTGGAATGAACAGATGCATGACAATAGATGCAGATATGGTTAATTAATAATTAATAAATAAACAAAAACAAGAAATAGAAAATACAAATTACATTGATTAACATAAAATAAAATGGAAAAAAAAGACATTGATGACCATGACTACTTCCAATAAACTGTTTCTACTATTTCCAATGTCCAAGTTTTGATACTATACAACCAAAGCACTGTGGTTTCACCATTTGAACATGGTGAACATTTTGAACTCTAATCATTCAGTTTCTTGGTAAATGAGTAAAAATTCTGATGCAACTTTAAACAACGCAATCAACACAGCAACTTATTTTCATCAATTTCAGACAAAATCTCATCAGTCTTACCCTGTTAGACGTGTCCATCCCAGCAGCCTTCTGGAGGTTGAGGGAAGACCACGACATCTTCTGGTTAGTGTGAGGGGGAGTCATCTGATCTTCTTATCACCCCAAGGGGAAGAACACGTGTCTCTTATATTGCTCTGTGCTGTTCAAGTCGTCATCCCTGTCTGGACGTCATACAGGCCAAACACAAAACCCTCCAATTCCCTTGTTTCAGCCGCTTGTTCATTTAGAGGGCTGCTGTCAAGCTCGCTTCCAGTAATTAGTCTCATCTCCAGGGCACACCTCTGGACCACCGACGAACAACAGGTATGTCTTTGTGGCCGCGTGCCAAAGGTTTATTAAGACATGCCATTAGAGTGAGTAGTGAGGGATCGAAGTCAATTAGCTAATGCGACCAATGAGCTCTAAAATATCATACAGATACATAAAAAGCCCTGATGCCCTTTACTCAGTTCTAATAACGAGCCCATTCAAAAGTCATGCTAATGAGCTTCTACTATTTATTCTCCCTTATACAAAAGGTGCCATTCTGACACATCAAGAACAATTTTGTGAATTTTCTAGTTCTTACACAAACAAGTTGAGGAATATACAGGGCACAGTTAGAACTGTCACCACACAGCAAGACGGTTCTTGGTTCCAACCTGAACAGTTTGCATGTTCCCAATGTGTCTGTCTGTGGTTTTCTCCAGCTTCCTTCCACAATTAAAGAACATGCAAGTCAGGTCAGTTGCCTGGAGTTGAGATCACTCTGGTTGTTTTCTCTATAGGTCAGTCCTGTGACCGGGTGTACCCCACCTCTCGCCCAATGTCAGCTAGGATTGGCTCAAGGCCCCCACGACCCTCAAAGGATAAGCCGTTTAAATCATGGATGGATGAATATACAGACCCACGGCTAGGAATGACTGCTAAGAGAGGGGCCCTTGTTAATATTAATCCAGGAGGCCAGTAGCCCCCAGCTCAGCCTGTTTATTAACCAGAAAATACTATCATAAGTAGAAAAGACATAACAACAAAAATCCCTTGAAAGCAGTTCCTGACTGACTTAAGATTCCTCTTTTCATCTTGCCATCCTCCCAGCCAAAAGGAAGCACTGCTATAAATAGACAAACTGAATAGTACTAAAAAATAGCCCATTCCTTGTTTATTGATAGGAAAGGGAATTTTATATCGAGGGAATTAACAGTGCATCAGAAGCAATCAATAGGGCTTTGGAAAGCTTTATTGATTGCTTCTAATTGCTTTACATTCAATGTGAAAGTTGCTTTCAAAAGGCTCTCGAGATCAAGTGATGTCGAGATGACTGTCACTCTCAAACAACAATTTCCAGGAAATATTTGTAGATTGATACATTGCTCAAATTCAGGTCAATTATTTAAGATCCCAGTATACAAAACATTTGGGTGTTTTCCCATTAGTAATGAACAAGAGGAGACAGGATAAACAATGAAGCCAGTTTTAATGGGCCACTCAAAAGAACTCTTACAGAATCCACACTCACTTTGCAGTGATACACATGTCAGGTTATTGTTTGACACTGGTGATGTGGCACTGGCCCGTAATCCCTCATTCCAGGCCCACATGCACCGGTTGTCCTAATGTGCACCACACAACAGCATGTGTCAGATCACTGTATATGTGGAGGTAATGTTACAAAAGAATCAGCATATCAATAGAACTAACAACAATTATTATAATATCAATCATTAATGGCTGTGTCTGCGAGAGTTATTATAGCAATATATTTTTCCCTTCGTACATTTTACATACAGTTTACATCTATATTTACTTTATCTTGTGTTTTTATTAACAGCAGTACCATGTTGCTGTTGACCTTTGACCTCTAACAGGCAAGGGTCACATATTCCAGTTGTGATTGGCTCAAGGATGCGGGCTAGCTCCACCCCGGGGACCAAAACACCAACTCACGTAACGTCACACACACACAGCCCCTGGGGAGAAGACGAGGAGACCCTGTCGGGGGAGGGGTGGGTGGGATTCCAGCAATTAAATGAAAATGAAAATCTTAAGGAATGATACTGGAGGTGTGTGGGGATTTATGGAGGTTTACGCCAGCAGGGGACGTGAGCGGAGCATCTACACAGCTGCACGTTGTTTATTTCTATTTTAGTTCCACAACTCCCTTGGTTGTGCTGAAACTGTCATCTGTGACTCCTACAGAGCTCGGCCTAGAGAAGGTGCTCTACCTTGTGCACTTCAAATGAAAGTGGCATCCTCTTCACTGATGGTAGTGAGGGATCTCTTGCAGCTTTGTGTCTAAGATGGAGAAGAAGGAGCATGAAGAAACAAAAAGCTGAAAGACATGCCGAGGAGTCTCCAGAAATGAAAAAAAGGCAAATTTGTGACATTAAAACGCCAATGTGAGGTAAAGCCTGTACCCACAGAGCTAGAGTACATAGTGGAGGGGCATGTAACTAGCACTGCCCAGAGAGAGACAAGGATATCCAACCTACTGTTACATTTACTGAATGCATTCCAATGTGGGAACACAATCCTTTTGACAAGAGAGAAAAACAGAAGAGACCAAAACCATCTGGCTCAGATGGAAAAGAAAAATAAACATCACCTTTCCAGTGTCAGGTCTCTTCTTCCCTCCCTCCTCTCAGACTTGTGTCTCGCTCCTAACACGACGAGTCTTCCTCGTCATCATCATCATCTCTTTAACCCTTTCCATTACTTCCTCCATCTCTCTTTTGTTACCGGCCTCCTGCTTTTCTTCTACACCTTTCTGCATCTCTGCCTCTGTCTCGCCCTCTCTGTCTCTCTTTGGGAAAGATTCTCTGTGGGCACAGGCTGCGGGTCAGCAGGATCCCGCGGGATTGTCGCAGGCGGTCTCTTTCTCAGGGGTGGCTTCAAGAGGTCCCGCCACCGTCTGCTGCTGGCACTGGAACTGAAACGGAAGCTGAGGTAGGGGTGGGGGTTGAGGGTAGGCTGGCGGTTTTGAAACAGTTTGAACCAGGGGGAGGGCTGGTGGCTGGGGGTGTGGCTGAGGAAGGGGATGGAGGTAAGCCTGAGGTGCGACCTGGGGCTGGGTTTGGGGCTGGTGCAGTGGTGGAGGCTGTGGATGGGGCTTGGCCTGAGGCTGCTGCTGTATCTGGAACTGTTGAAGTGGGTGGTGGTGAGGATGATGCTGGAGCTGGGGGGAAACTGCTCCGTTTTTACTGAGGCCGCAAGACTGAGCTGCACAATGGATCTGACGCAGCGTGTCCAGGGCCTCGATCTTAGCATGTTTCAGCAGGTCGGCCTGGCCCTGAGGTTGAGACAGAGGGAGACAGAAAGAAAGAGACAGACAGCTTGGTGAATAACATGCCATACAAGATTTAAGGCAGGAAAAGCATCAGGACATGTCTTTGATTTCCAGCTCTTTCCTACTTTGTAGAACTTCCCTAGGGAAGTTATGTTTTCACTCCTGCCACTTGTTTGTTTGTCTGTAAGCAGGATTACACAAAAACAGTTAAACAATTTTAATTAATCTTGGTGGCAGGATGCAGTATGGGTCAGGGAAAAGCCCATTCAATTTTGGTGCAGACACAGGAATTGTTTTTTCAAAATTGCACCATTTTCTAAGGTAATTCATGGATCTTGAAGAAAAAAAGTAACTGACATTTATGATTGTGTGCAAATTGGTATAAAAATCTGGATCTATTGAATTTAAATGTGGTTTTATAAGGAGACTGTTTGGCCTGTTGGGCAGATGTGTTACCAAATTGAAGATTAGGCCTCGAAAAACACTAATAAAAAAGGATTGAGGACTATTTTGTCCAAAGAGCATTACCTAGCAAGTGGCAGAAGGGGGCAGTATAAAGCCACTAAATGAAGGCCTTTGGTTGCATGCCAGCTCTTCCAACTGCTTCACTCTTCTGGCGAAAAGTGATTTCATATGGTGATAATGTTATACTACATTTCTGTAATTTATTTGGGAGCACTCAGAGATGAGTCTCCGCCATATGTGGAGGAAGTGGTCGGGGCAGGCATCTCGCTATACAGCACTGTCAAGTCCGTCTGGACTGCTGCCATCGCTGCCTGCCTCCCTCCTTAGGCTTGCTGTCTCTGCCATGTGGGAACGTGGCGGTTATTTCAATGTGTGAGGTACTTATATTATTAGAACTGTGAAAAGAAAAAGAAAAAAGAAGAAATGCAACCACATGCTTTTACAAACTCTCTCAGGCCTCTTCTCCTGCACTTCAGCTCCAACACTTTCTGTACATCAGCACTCCTCCAACATCTGCTCCCAAAGCAACTTGACAGCAGTTGCCTTCACATCTGTGCATCTGCATATATTTCCCTCCCTCCCACCGAACTTCACTCTGGACTCTCTGACCCGCTGTGACAGCTCATTGGGCCAACATTCCCGACAGGAGGCAAAGGATGACCTGTACTGCACCAGACCAAAGTGTTCGCGGTGCAAGGGGGCGAAGATCCCGGAGCAGCAAGGCAGGCACAACGTGTCTGACATACTGTGTGATGAGTGGAGGTGCTGCACCGAAATCAACACTCAATGCTCTACCCCCTGGTGATTGCTTATAACTGCAAGTGGCATTTTTACCTGAGCCACTCCAGAACGCAAACCACGAACACATGGGGAAAAAAAATTATGTATGTCATGACTCACCAGGCCTAAAATAAGATCAGGAGAAGCTTGTTTTTTGCTTCCTGAGCTGAAAATTCGGACGGGACTGGAATTCAAGTATATTTACCAGTACTGGCCTAAAAGCTATTCACAGTGGGGGGGCTTACCACCAAATGCCCCCACTATAACCTCATTAAACTCAAGCCTATAATCTCCCCTGGTTTGTAAATGATTTGCCTTGAGTAAATTATTTTAAGGATGTAGACGGAGAAAGATGTTTGATGGTGGATCATAGGTGAAACTGAGAAAAATGCATCTCCAGCGGACAGTTGTATTCATGGTTTCACTGGAACACAAAAAAGAAGCATCAGAAAATGAGAGATGGTAAAACAAAATGAGGCCAGAGTTCCCTTTGCAAGGCTTTGGCCAGCTATGTGATGCAAAGAGTTCCCACAGCAAAATCGGAGCTATTTCAGCAAGAGATGATTCATTATGTAGAATTAATTATGTGCCCCAAACAACTGTTAACTACCTCTGCCAAGGTCATGTCCGTTTTTTTGTTTCTTTGTTGATTGTGCGGTTGTTTGTTTTTCAACCTACGCAAAAAATACAGAATGGATTTCCACGATTTGGTGGAATAAAGGGACATGGGTCAAAAAGGAACCCAGTAAACTTGCATTTTTGATAATAATAATAATTAATGGATCTCGATGAAAAAAACCCAGACATATTTACAGGATTGATATGAGTATGTGCAATTTGGTGCAGATTGATTCAATTTGAGCTCACAG